AAATTTTTTATTTAACCAGACTGAGAAATAGAGGTGTTGCAGGGCCATATTAAACTCTCGGAAAAAATAGATATAGAACAAAAAAATAATACTAACTACTAACTGAAATTAACATAAGAGTCATCCCTTAGTGCATCTCTTGTCCTTACCCCTTACAATCAATCTGTGCACAAGTCCTTTTAGTTTGCTTCCAAAATATGTCACACATTTATTCACTTCTCCATCTGCGCAGCTACAACCCTACAACTATTGTTTCTCACCTAGATAGCAGAGTCCTAGACTGGGAGAGTGGCTAGGGACTTTTTGGTCCCGGCTCAAAAGTCACCTTTCAGAACAGCTTTCTGAACCACTTACAGTAACCTTCCTGATCCTCATCTCCCCCATAGCAAGTTGTCCAGGGGTTTTTCGTTACAGTATTTGTTGTTATCTGATATTATCTTGTTCCTTTGTCATTTTTTGTCTGTATGTCACCTTCAGAATAGAGCAAGGAACTAGTCTGTGTTGTATACTATGCATGTCTATTGTCTGGAACAAATCAATTGCTGATACAGAGGATGCTCAAAAATATTTGTTGAGTGAACAGCACATATACTGGAAAACAAATATTCATCTGGGATCTTGAGAGAAAACTTTCTGATGTGGTAGGTCACCTTGGTTCAGTACCCAGGGGTCCTAGGGGAAGCCAGTGAGGAACAGACACACAGTCTTGAGCCTAGTAAATCTGAACAGTGAGGTTTGGTGCCTCCTGAGGACAAAACTCATTTCTTTACCCAAAAGAAAATGAAATTTTCATCAGGGTTTGTATTTAATTACAGAGCTCTGATGACTGACAGTTAGATGTGTTTGTTTTAACTGGGGAAGATTAGATAGTGGAGAACTCTGGATATCAAGCCAGAATGGGCTGACACTGAGGGAAGAGAAGGTGAGTAATGCAGAGGCTGCACAGGATTGACAGAAGTATCAAAAACGAATTGTCAGTGCTTTTTGAATTATGGTAAAGAGAGTAGAGTTAGGGAGCCGGAGGGACTCTAGATATCTGGGGGAGGAAGAGGAACTATTAAAAAGGGCAAAGGAAGGTGATATATGATCCAATTCAGTCAAATTTGGTTTAATTACCTGGCATCAGGTGCTGTCCCTGGTGATGGCAACCCAGAGGAATGAGACATAGGAGGGAATGTCTGCTCTTCGGGGGCTTACAGTGTCTAGCAAGGAAGACAGATGAATGATGACTTCTAATGCAGTATTATTGTAGGTTTGATAGGAGATAGATATCTTTAGGAGTTGCTGGTCAGCCAGTCCATGCTTAGGATTTCACATGGTGGTCCTCAGCTTTACTTTTAAAGAGACCTGATCTCAATCCACCAGTAAGTGCCTAATCTCCTAAAAAGTGGTCCATACTAACCACACCCATAAGCCAAAATACCAGTTGAGTAATTTACAGTGAGGAAAGCTATGTGAATAGCGCAAGTTTTAATAAGAAGATTACTTGGTGAGCATGTAGAAGAATAAAGGGAAGTAATTGAGTGATGTAAATGTCAAATGGTATCAGGCTTTGGTTGCCTGATGCTGCTTCTCCATACCAGCACTGTAATTGGAATGAGAGCAAGCCAGTCACATCTGCTGGTCAGGATGTCATGCCTCCCTTGTGCTTACTGAACGTGGCCAGATCTTGCTTGATGACCCGCATTTTCTTTACACCTGCATTCTTACTGGCTTCTTTAGTTATGTTACCACCATTCAGTAGTAAATTATTCTATCTGCTTCTTTGGGAAATCATCTCTTACCATTGTATGTTGATAAATATCAGTTAAACCCTTAAGTCTTGAAGATACTTAGGTACAATCTGTGGTTAAAATGGAGATATATACAGGGATAATGGCAACATAGATAAGGAACCATTAGGACCAACAATTAGCTAACAGCTAACCTGTTAGCAAGGATGAGCAGTGTGAATCATCATGCGCTGAATCTTCTAGGAATGTGGATTGATAAAACCAGTTTGAAAATAGTTTAACATTACCTAGTGAAGTTGAGTATTACTATATGCTTTCCCTAGCAATTCCCATTCCCAGGTTTCAATAACTTGGAGAAACTCTTGCACATGTATACCAGGAAATAGGTAACAAGATTGTTTATAGCAGAAAAACAGGGAAAGAGCAAGTTCAGTCAAGTGTTCAGTTACACAATGAAATACTATACAAAAATGAAAATGTAAGAAGTACAGCTCTAAGCATGGTCTCAAAAAAAGTTGAGCAAGTCACTAAAAGATAATATGTTGTAAGAGTCCATTTGTATAAAGTTCAAAAAAAAAGAACAAACCTAAACCTGTTAAGGATGTATACATGTAATGTAAAGCTGTAGGGGAAAGCAAGAGAATGGTTAATTCCAAATGCAGTCCAGTAGCTGCTTTGTTGGGGGAAGGAGATGCAGCTGGAAAGGGGAACATGTGAGTCCTTCTAATGTTCTCTTTCTGAAGCTGGACACTGTGTTTGTGGGTATTTATTTTATTATTCTTTTTTTATTTTTATTTTTTTTTTATATTTTATTATTCTTTCAGCCATACTATAAACATGCTTTGTGTGACAGAGTTTACTCTGAGATAAAGAGCAATGTGTTGGAGTAAGCTCTTCATCATTCCAAGGACTATTGTGTTCCAAACCTATAGAACCTGGGTGACACAACATTGCCTTCGCCTCTAACATTATCTTGTCCATTATAGTGCTGTAGTAGTAGGATGGCTGTTGAATTTATGGCCTATACTGGAACACTTTTGAAAGTAAAGGGAGCGGATACACAAAATAATTAGTTTTTTTTTTTAAATATTTATTGACTAAGAGATTGGCTTTATTATATACTGTAAACCTCAAAAATAAATTCTGTTGAACCACAGTAAAAACTTTTTTATAATGATTGTCTAAGCATTAAAAAACAGTATATGCTAAATAATTACTCTTGGTATGTGCTCATAAGCTTTTATCAATTTCATACCCTTATCTGTCTCAAATACCATGTCATTGGTATTTTTATGAAGGGACTATTTTTTCCAAATGTTCCTAATTTTTCTTTTTTTTTTTTTTTAAGATTTTATTTATTTATTTGTCAGAGAGAGAAAGAGAGAGAATGAGAGAGCGCACACACAAGCAGGCAGAGTGGCAGGCAGAAGCAGAGAGAGGAGCAGGATCCCTGCTGAGCAAGGAGCCCGATGTGGGACTCGATCCCAGTACCCTGGGATTACGACCTGAGCCAAGGGCAGTGGCTTAACCGACTGAGCCACCCAGGTGTCCCCCTAATTTTTCTTTTTACCCCCCAAATTGCCTGCCAGTTTCTTTAAAACTGCATTTGATGGTTAATATATTTGAAAGTACTTATACCTTCTATTAAATCTTCTCTGCAGAGTGTATTATTTTTTTTAAAAAGATTTTATTTATTTGTTTGACAGAGAGAGACCATGAGAGAGAGAGAGAACATAAGCAGTTGGAGTGGGAGAGGGAGAAGTAGGCTTCCCACAGAGCGGGGAGTCCGTCCCAGGACCCTGGGATCATGATCAAAGGCAGATGCTTAATGACTGAGCCACTCAGGTGCCCAGAGTGGTAACTGAGAAAGATATATCCTGAAGATACCTCATAAGCTTAGTATCTTAAGTTGGAAGTATCAAGTGGACATTTACCAAACTTAGTAATAACAACAATGATAATAATTTGATTAAAAAAAAAAAAACCCGAAAAAATCCAGGGTAATTGCTAAACCAGATGAGATGCCAAGTAGAACAGGTGGAAGCCAGACCTGTCTCGGGCAGTTACACAAAATGCCTGCAGTTTAACGTCTGCATCAGTACAGTTCTGTTAATTTGCTTGTTATTGGACCCAGGTGGCTGCTAGTCAGGTCAGGAGCTGACCCCTGCGGTGAACCTTCCTTTCTTCTTAGGGGATGAAAACATGTAAAAGGATCCATAAACTGTTACTGGTTTGAGGAGGAAAATATATTTGTTTAAATATTAAGTTGGGAAAACTTGGGAGAAAGGAGTAGTAAAAGAAATATATCCAGACTTTGAAGTACTGGGTATTTTGTAGCCAAGAAAAATTGAGCCAAATCACAGTCTAAGGATTATTCCTTGTTCACATAGGAACATTTTATGAAACAAATGATCCATATTTACAGCTAGAACTTACAGAAATACCTTATTTTTACTTTGCACATTTTGTGGGATTTATTCAAACTATCTTTCATAGGAACAATTCTGTACCTGGAAAAAGGCTGCTTGTTGAGCTTTACCTCATTTAGGAAAGATTCACACGGTGAAGAAATGACAAAGGTCTTTTCCTATAATGAGACCCTCGTGACCACCCTTGCCAGTCAGTGGGTGACATATCCCACCATGATTTGGAGTTTTTTATAGAAACATTTTAAAAAAGCTGCATTTTTTCCTTTAAAAGGACCTTTCCAAAAAAAATTTTAGAACAAAACCCATGTTTTTGTTTTTGTTTCATTTTTTGTTTTTGTTTTTGTTTTTTTTCTAGTGGCAACTGGCCACTCCTTACTGGGGGAGTATGTTAATATCCCCCCTTATTAATATTGAGTCAGAAGATAGTGTTCTGTACAATTTACAGTAAAACAGATGTGTCTTAAACATAATGTGCTTAAGCAAAGTACTCTAGTAGCAATAATTTGAAAGTCACTGATGGGAAAAATTTTATTTTGGCACACATGAGTTCTTTCCTCCTAAAACTTAGTTATGAGAAATTCTAAATTTTACCAAATGGATGTTTTATAGATTTGAATTTTATATTCCCTCCTCCTCCTATTTTTCCCAGTTGATTTTGTTTTTCAGCAACAAAAAATAAAAGGTAAGGATATTGAATGATCATAGACAAGGGTAGTGTGTAGTAGATGGCCAAAGAATATACAACAGCTGGAAATTACATTTCACTCAACCTAAAAATAGATCGAAGTAGGTGGAGATGACTTAATATTTGAAATGTGTATGTTCTTTCTCTCTATAGCTTTAAGGAAAAGTGGAAATCACTCCTGACTATACTGCATAGCAAAAATTTAGTGATTTCCTATACTGCAAATCATGGCACTACCATTCCGGAAGGACTTAGAAAAGTACAAGGATCTAGATGAAGATGAGCTCCTTGGGAATCTATCAGAAACAGAACTGAAACAACTGGAGACTGTTCTGGATGACCTTGACCCTGAGGTAGGTGGTAATGAGATAACTTCAGACCCTTTGAAACTAAATAACTTCCTTTGAGCAGTTATCTTTCTCATGACTTTTCTCTGGCACTCTCCGCCCCCACCATTCTCTCTTTATCCAGATGAACTTTTTCCCTCTTCTCAGTTCCCCCACTTCTGCCCCCTCAGCTCCACTGACATGCCTGTTCTGAACTACTTTCACCAGCACCCTTATTCTCAAGTTTATGAAGTCTGTCCTGGAAGAAATTTTTTCTCTGGTGCCTAGGTGGTTCTGTTGGTTAAGAGTCTGCCTTCTCCTCAGGTCATGACCCCTGGGTCCTCGGATCAAGCCCCACATCAGCTCCCTGCTCAGTAGGGAATCTTCTCCTCTCTCCTCCTGCTCTTGTGCTCTCTCTTGCTCTCTCTCTTTCTCCCTCTCAAATAATGTCTTAAAAAAAAAAAGAAAAAATTTTTTCTCTCTGGGCAGGGAGGAACATTTTTGAAGCAGATGATTAGCTCTTTGATGTCTGCCAACCCCTGTGCCTCTTCAGAGCTTCTATACTATGATGGCCCTGTGTAGAGTGTCTCTCGAAGGTTCTTTGTGACCTTAAATCTAACTGTACCTTTCTGAAACATGCTGACCAAATTGAGTAAGTTTCTAGCCCTTAGTAGACTAGATCTAAGTACACAGCAATATTGCAATCTATGTGGAGCAGATAGATCTGAATATATGTATAAATGTTTTAATTTGCGTAGTGGGTGTTATTCGTCTTATAAGTTACACGGGGCTAAGGTAGAGCCCCTTGACTTCTGAACTGTTATTCCCTGGTAGGTACATGGGGAGGGGGTTAGTCATTGAAGGCAGAGCCCAAAGGTTATGGCTGCTTAACTTGAAGGTAAGGGTTGTTTGCTAGGCTTCTTTTTACTACATGTTTCTTTATGTTGAGACATTGATTTTTAGTGCCTTTTAAGAATGAGGCAGAGGTTGTTCTATAAAATTGTTCTTGTTATTACAACACATTTCCTGCTGGCATGTGTTTAAATTTTTATTGAGAATTAACTCTTTTTCTCAGCATTACTTGAGCACTTCAATAATGTGTCTATGCAGATCAAAACCCTTAACCATAATTGTTATCACAAGGAAAAGTTTGTGGTACTCCTGAGTCTGGGGGATAACTCAGGATAACAGTATTGTTTTGATCATGTCACGGCAATATCTTCTACAGGCAGTTCACCCTGTTAGACCTGTTGGAATCAAGTGATTGTACAACTGGCAGGAGTGTTAAGTGCTCACCTAGCCCAGTGTTTCTTAACCTTGACACGATTGACATTTGGGGGCTTGAATTATTCTTTGTTATGGCGGTTATCCTGTGTCTTTAAGTTATCCTGTATCCTGATCTCTACTCATTACATGCCAATAGCACAGTCCCCTGCTTAAAAATGGGCCTGGGACTTTGTTTTAATTAGCTAGGGTAAGATTACAGACATGGAGAAATAGTTTAATTCTTAGTTTCCAAAAGCAGGAAGCACACAGGGCCGCCCGGGAAAGCACCTGGATTGGTCAGGAAGCAGAAGCAGCAAGGGGCCCAGAACCTTTCTTATGGTTTCCAAGGGAAGGAATGGGTGGGACATGGTTGGCAAGTTTGAGCAAGTTTAGTATTGGATAATTTGAGTAATTTCAGTGGGCTTTGGGCCAGAGGAGTAGTCTCCAGTTGTCTAGTTAACTAGTTCTGGATGATTCAGGGTGTGTCTGCAGGGGATATTGGCTTGGTGTGAGAGAGAGAAAGGATGTGGTTGGGGTTTGAGCTCTGGATTGGTTAGTTTTCATATGGAAAGCACACTGTTGGGTAGGGGCAGGGAGAGTTGTTTGCTATCTCTAGGAATTAGGTAGCCCAAGGAGGGGTAGTCTTTCTAACATTAGCAAGGCTCCCAGAGGCAAAGAATCATGAAATCCAAAAAATAAAAAACGTGATTAATACTTCCTCTCCTTACTTCTGACAACCAAAAATATTTCTGGACATTGGCAGTTGTCCCCTATTGGGAGCACCTTGGTTGAGAAACACTGGGTTAGCACTTGCCCTCTGTTTTACAGATGGAAAACAAAAGTTGGGTGACTTGCCTCAATTACTGCAGTTAGAGAAAGAACTGAGACCAGATCCCTTATTGCCTCATTGCTCCTGGCAAAGTCTAGTGGTCCTTCTGTTCAGCTGCAGTGAGGCCCCTGTTAATGCGTGCTCTATGCTATACGTGTGAAAAAGCCCATGGTTTATATTTTCTTGTTTGCAAAACTGTGGCCTGCTCTTATATGGGGAGGCTTGAGTTCTAACTTTTAGATGTATTTTTCCAGCTCCCCAACCCCAGTTGCAACTCCCCCAACCTCAGATACTATTAGTTGAAACTAGAAGAACAATGATGTTTATTGACAACATGCCACTTGTTGGGTAAAATTTGGGGGAAGAGTACCAGTGAAAGATGAGGTAAGAAAAGAGAACAAGGGTAGTAGCAGCTACTCCAGGCAGAGAAACCCCTCTGGAACTTACAAAGTCTCAGAAGATAAGGAAGAGAAGAGTGGACAGAGGTTGTATATGATTCCTTGTTGTGTTTTGGAGGGCCACTTTATTTTCCTTATGCTGCATTCAGTATATTTACTTGCCAATTTACTGCATTTTCTCAAAACACCCATCTCTAAAGACAGCCAGCTAGCCAGCCTAGGCAAAAGCTTTTTTTTTTTCCCCCCATTTCCAAGGCTTGGAATATATAATTACAACAAAATTCTATGAGGGAGAAACCTGTACTTCTTAGTGGCAGTCATTTTAATGAGATCTTTACCTGTTTCTTGAGTAATTATGATCTATTAACTTGACTAAAGTATACTTCCAATAACCCTACAAAGCCAGTTACCTGTCATTTATTTTGTGTTCAGAGACTGTATTTAAGGAACCATGATTCCAGATGACGTATCACTCAAAACTTCCATGTTTTGCATGGGCTTGAGCATACCTGGGAATAGTGCAACTCCCTCACTACCACAGTGAATAGTGCAACTCCCTTACTACCACAGTGAAAGAGCAGTATGCATTATTGACTGGGATGGAGAGTAACTTTGATTAATTTGCCTTAATGAGCATTTTTCCTTAAAAGTATTCTCAGGGGCGCCGGGGTGGCTCAGTCAGTTGAGCATCTGCCTTTGGCTCAGGTCATGATCTTGAGGTCCTGGGATGGAGCCCCGCATCAGACTCCCTGCTCAGTGGGTAGTCTGCTTCTCTATCTCCCCCTCCCCCTGTTTGTGCTCTCTCTTTCTTTCTAAAAAATAAAATCTTAAAAAAAAAAAAGTATTCTCAAGTCTTTATTGAGTAAATATTTGGGGAGCAACTAATAGATTCTGGTACTATGCTAGGCTTAGGAATATAAGAGTAAGCAAAACAAATGTGGTCTTTGCCCTCATGATGCAGGCTGGGAGGAATGGGAGGGGGTTGGCATTAATCGAATAATCATGCCATATTAATATAAGAGCATATAATGGTAGGTCAGGAAAAGCTTTCTTTGAGGAAATGGAGCTGCAGTCTTAAAAACAAGTAGTAAGGGGCACGTAGGTGGCTCAATTAAGTGTCTGCCTTTGACTCATGTCATGATCCCCTGGTTCTGGGATCAAGCCCCAAGTCAGGCATCCTGCTCAGCAGGGAGTGTGCTTGTCTCTCTCACTCAGACTCTCCCTCTTGCTGATGTTCTTGCTCTCTCTCAAATGAATAAATAAAAAAATCTTTTTCAAAAATGAGTAGCAAAAAATGGTGGACAGAGCTTTCTAGAGAAGGCTTCTGGTAGAAGGAAGTATGTCACAGGCACAGGGGAGGAACAAGGGCTAGAGTGGCTAGAATGGGGAGAGTATGTGAGGTGAGGCTAGAGAAACATCATGGAGTGTGAGACTGAGGTATGAAGAGTATCAGACAACTGAGCTGGGGAGACCATTTGAGAAGCTAAGGTAATATTCCATGCCAGCTTGATCATAGTTTGGATCAAAATAATGGTGTTGGAGATAGAGGAAGGTAAACAGATGAATAAGCTTTTTAGGAAGTAAATGGGTAGAACTTGATGGTTCATTGGGAGTGGATTCTTCAAGTGTAGCTCCCTTTTTCGAAGTTGGTAGGTAGAAATCTTGTTTCTTTATTTATGTCCCCATATACAATTTTGTGTTACAAAAAACGTTTTTAGTGTAGGGTTAGGAACAGACCTTCTTTGTGTTTCATATTTATAGGTGAGCTTTCTGTGTAATGCCTACCGTTAGAGGAAAACACAAAGGTGGATTTTATGAAAATTACTATGGATCTCAGCAAATGGCCATAATCGAAGTGCTATATTTTCTAGTTATAAAATGTACATTCCCTATTATTATCTATGTAAGATCTCCCTTTATAATGAAAATTATAACATCCATAAGATTCAGCATTATTGCCAACTTTGGGATATGTTACAAAAGAAGGTGGCCCTTTTGTGTGACTTCTCAGGCTGCCTTCAATTTCCAAAGCAAAGGAATATCTAGGAATAGTGAGACAAAGCCATATTACCACTTTTGCCTTTCACTGAGCATAAGGATGGAGCTCATGTTGTCTAATCACTGCTTGTTATTCCTGGACTTAGTAAAAATTCAGAAAATTTTCTTGTAAGAGACAACTTTAGTCTATCATCTCACCCCCTTCCCCACTCTGAGTCCCTCCATGCACTCAAAAAGACTGTACCCACAGGGAAACCCGGGGATGTAGCTCCTGCTATGACTACCGAGGCATGCCTTGGTGCATGAATAGCAATGACAGTGGTTGCTGCAAATACATCCTAGTACTGACGTGTACATACATGCTTGAAGAAGTTGAACCTTTCACATTGTGTTTAGACACAAACAAGTGAACATTAATGTCCTGATAGCTTACTATACAGCATACATGGTTTTATATGAAAAAGTCTTTACTGTGAAATAGTAATCTATGAAGGAATACAATGTATATATCATTTAAAATTCTTGTGTAATAGAATTATTTTCCATATATGCATATATGCTGAGCAGTTAGTAGTCATTAAGAAAACTTTTTTTTATTACCATCTAGGACATTTAAAAAATAAAGGGTGTTTCCTTCTAGTAGAGTACTTCTGGAGAAAATGTGTATGTGCTTATTTTAATAACGTGATTGAATTCTACCTAATGAAAAACTTTGTGTGAGACACTTTTACATTGCTACCCTAAAATCCTCTAACGAGGTGTTTAGTGTCTGTATCACATTCCAGTCTGTAATTCTTTCTTAAATGGGTAATCTATGGAAGCATATAGTATTGGCATTCTTGGTGGTCATAATGGCTGATTCGTTCTCTTTGGCAGAATGCCCTTCTGCCTGCAGGGTTCCGGCAGAAGAACCAGACATCAAAGTCCGCCACGGGGCCATTTGATAGAGAACACCTCCTTTCATACCTGGAGAAGGAAGCATTGGAGCATAAGGACAGGGAAGACTATGTGCCCTACACTGGAGAAAAGAAAGGTAAACACAGAACTTTGAAGTCATTTTTTGGTAGCACTTGATTTTTCTTTCTTTTTTTTTTTTTAAAAGATTTTCTTTATTTATTTGACAGAGAGAGAGAGAGAGATCACAAGTAGGCAGAGAGGCAGGCAGAGAGAGAGAGGGAGAAGCAGGCTCCCCGCTGAGCAGAAAGCCCGATGTGGGGCTCGATCCCAGGACCCTGGGATCATGACCTGAGCCGAAGGCAGAGGCTTTAACCCACTGAGCCACCCAGGCGCCCCTTGATTTTTCTTTTTATAGGTAGGGTAAGTCTGGAAAAATAATATTTGTAGAGATGCCTCATTAGTAGCTTTAAAGACGGGACGCTGTTGACTGTTGACTTAAAAAGTTGTTAGGTAATTTGGCAGTTCATTTGCATTTTTCATCAACTTGGCCAATAAGTTCCTTTTTAATGATTTGTAAGTGAGGTTTTATAATACAGTGATTTTATATAGCACTCTAGTTCTCTACTGTAATAAATTTAAAAGTGTGCTGAGGTAAAATTTTAAATTCAGTAGTGTATTTCAGAATGCAAATGACGACAAAACACTTCTCTGTTTCAACTCCTCTCTCTAAGGATACGTGCCATCAAATAATTCAGGCCATTTTCTTTTTCTTTTCTTTTCTTTTTTTTTTTAAGATTTTATTTATTTATTTGACAGTAGAGATCACAAGTAGGCTGAGAGGTAGGCAGAGACAGGAAGGGAAGCAGGCTCCCTGCTAAGCAGAGAGCCCGTTGCAGGGCTCGATCCCAGGACCCTGAGATCAAGACCTGAGCCAAAGGCAGAGGCTTTAACTCACTGAGCCACCCAGGCGCCCCAAGCCATATTTTCAAAGACCCTTTTTTTTCCCCCAAAAAAACTTTATTTATTTATTTGACAGACAGAGATCACAAGTAGGCAGAGAGGCAGGCACAGAGAGAGAGAGGAGGAAGCAGGCTCCCCACCGAGCAGAGAGCCCGATGCGGGACTCGATCCCAGGACCCTAAGATCATGACCTGAGCCGAAGGCAGAGGCTTAACCCACTGAGCCACTCAGGCACCCTCAAAGACCCTTTTTAAAGGGTATCCTACAGCCTTCCTTAGTAATTCATAGCTATAGTTGTCATCGCTTCATAACCGTTACTTTCAGGAAAGTTTTCTAGTCTAGGTCCCTCCCACTGCAGAGTTAGACCTTAGGCAAACCGACTGGAGACCAAGTACAGATATATATCTTAAAGTTCTCTATATAACACAATGTGAAGTAGGTTAAGTTTCTCCACTTTCAATACAGATTGGCTTAAGAAGCCACAGTGTACTTGCACTCTCTTGTTGAGGGTGTGGAACATTAGGGAATGATGGCAGCAGTTGCAAGATCTGAAGATGAGCTCTTCCAGGGATTGTTTTTACATCTGAATCCTTAGTAGTCCAGACCAGAAGAAGGATAAGAGCGTAGTGCTTTCTCCTGGTAAGGCTTTAGCGTTTAACTTAGGAAGGAAGCCCTTCTCAAGAATTAGTCTGTTACATGGCTACCCTTTAGTGGCAAGGGAGGCTGGAAAATTCATTTTAGCATTCTGGTCTCTGTAATAGCAGAAGGCTAGCAAATGACTTTTGAGTAGGTAATTCATGAGGTCTGCATTAAGCCTTTTAAAAAATTATCTGTCGGGGCACCTGGGTGGCTCAGTGGGTTAGGCCGCTGCCTTCGGCTCAGGTCATGATCTCAGAGTCCTGGGATCGAGCCCTGCGTCAGGCTCTCTGCTCAGTGGGGAGCCTGCTTCCTCCTCTCTCTCTCTCTGCCTGCCTCTCTGCCTGCTTGTGATCTCTCTGTCAAATAAATAAATAAAATCTTTAAAAAAAAAAAATTATCTGTCATCCCCAGTTCCTCTGCTCTTTCACTAGACCCCACTTCCCCCTTATCTGTAATTCAGCACACTACTGTAGCTATTTGTATTAGAGTTCCCCAGAGAAATAGAAGCAGAACCAGAAGCCTGTGTTGAGGAGAGGATGAGATTTATTGTAAGGAATTGGCTTGTGTGATTATGGAGGCTTACTAAATCTGAAATCTATAGGATAGGCCAGCAGGGTGGAGACCTAGGGAAGAGTTGCAGTTCAAGTCCAAAGGTAGTCTGCCAGCACAATTCCTTCTTCTCAGAGGAGATCAGTCTTTGTTCTGTTAAGGTCTTCAGCTGATTGGATGAGGCCCACCACATATGACTTTACTTGAAGTCCACTGATTCAAATGTCAGTCTCATCTAAAATACGCCTTCCCAGAAACACCCAGAATGATATTTGACCAATTATCTGGGCACCATGCCCAACCACATTGGCTCATAAAGTTAACCATGTTACTACTGTTCGAGATGGGAGTGTTTTGTCCCTCAGATGTCTACGGCCAGAAAAAAGGATTAAGAACCAATTAATGCATAGTTTGAAGTATGGAGAATCACAGAGATGAGTAAAAGCATCAGTTCTTTGTTTTTTACAGAAACAACTATTGGTTATGTTTTCATCTGAACAGCCATACCTACAATAACACAGTATTTATAGCTTCAGTCCTGTTTATATAGGAAAACATAGTTTTATGAGAATAAATATTGATTACCTTTAACTATTATGTGTGTTTCAGGTAAACTCAAGGGGTATAGTTATGGAGATAGAAGCAGAGGAAAAGATGTGAGAAAAAGATGTCAGGAAAAAATGTGGAATTTGAGGACAAGAAGAGAAAATAAGAGATGTGAAAGAGCTGAGTTTGTCCTGGGCTGACCCAGGAAGCTTTCCAGTATACTCTTGTTTCATAATCTCCAGTTGCCTAGGGAAAGATCTTGGAGGATTAGAGGACGTAGGAAAGAAGGTAGAGAAGAGTTGTGGAAAACAAAAAATTATCAGAGGGGAGAAATGATAGAGGTGAGGAATATGAGTGAAAAGTCAAAAAACACTATCTTCAACTGGAGTGTAATAACTTTTGTTTCCTTTTTTAACTTTTTTTTTAATTTAAATTTTATTTTTATTTCTTTTTAAACATATAATATATTTTTATCCCCAGGGGTACAGGTCTGTGAATCGCCAGGTTTACACACTTCACAGCACTCACCATAGCACATACCCTCCCCAATGTCCATAACCCCACTCCAGCCTCCCAACCCCCCTCCCCCCATCAACCCTCAGTTTGTTTTGTGAGATTGAGAGTCACTTATGGTTTGTCTCCCTCCCAATCCCATCTTGTTTCATTTACTCTTCTCCTACCCCCTTAACCCCCCATGTTGCATCTTCTCTCCCTCATATCAGGGAGATCATATGATAGTTGTCTTTCTCCGATTGACTTATTTCGCTAAGCATGATACCCTCTAGTTCCATCCACGTCGTCGCAAATGGCAAGATTTCATTTCTTTTGATGGCTGCATGGTATTCCATTGTGTATATATACCACATCTTCTTTATCCATTCGTCTGTTGATGGACATCTAGGTTCTTTCCATAGTTTGGCTATTGTAGACATTGCTGCTATAAACATTCGGGTGCATGTGCCCCTTCGAATCACTACGTTTGTATCTTTAGGATAAATACCCAGCAGTGCAATTGCTGGGTCATAGGGTAGTTCTATTTTCAACATTTTGAGGAACCTCCATGCTGTTTTCCAGAGTGGTTGCACCAGCTTGCATTCCCACCAACAGTGTAGGAGGGTTCCCCTTTCTCCGCATCCTCGCCAGCATCTGTCATTTCCTGACTTGTTAATTTTAGCCATTCTGACTGGTGTGAGGTGATATCTCATTGTGGTTTTGATTTGTATTTCCCTGATGCCGAGTGATGTGGAGCACTTTTTCATGTGTCTGTTGGCCATGTGGATGTCTTCTTTGCAGAAATCTCTGTTCATGTCCTCTGCCCATTTCTTGATTGGATTATTTGTTCTTTGGGTGTTGAGTTTGCTAATTTCTTTATAGATTTTGGACACTAGCCCTTTATCTGATATGTCGTTTGCAAATATCTTCTCCCATTCTGTCAGTTGTCTTTTGGTTTTGTTAACTGTTTCCTTTGCTGTGCAAAAGCTTTTGATCTTGATAAAATCCCAATAGTTCATTTTTGCCCTTGCTTCCCTTGCCTTTAGCGATGTTCCTAGGAAGATGTTGCTGCGGCTGAGGTCGAAGAGGTTGCTGCCTGTGTTCTCCTCAAGGATTTTGATGGATTCCTTTCTCACATTGAGGTCCTTCAACCATTTTGAGTCTATTTTCGTGTGTGGTGTAAGGAAATGATCCAGTTTCATTTTTCTGCATGTGGCTGTCCAATTTTCCCAACACCATTTGTTGAAGAGGCTGTCTTTTTTCCATTGGACATTCTTTCCTGGTTTGTCGAAGATTAGTTGACCATAGAGTTGAGGGTCTATTTCTGGGCTCTCTATTCTGTTCCATTGATCTATATGTCTGTTTTTGTGCCAGTACCATGCTGTCTTGATGATGACAGCTTTGTAATAGAGCTTGAGGTCCGGAATTATGATGCCACCAACTTTGGCTTTCTTTTTCAATATTCCTCTGGCTATTCGAGGTCTTTTCTGGTTCCATATAAATTTTAGGATTATTTGTTCCATTTCTTTAAAAAAAATGGATGGTACTTTGATAGGAATTGCATTAAATGTGTAGATTACTTTGGGTAGCATAGACATTTTCACAATATTTATTCTTCCAATCCAGGAGCATGGAACGTTTTTCCATTTCTTTGTGTCTTCCTCAATTTCTTTCATGAGTACTTTATAGTTTTCTGAGTATAGATTCTTAGTCTCTTTGGTTAGGTTTATTCCTAGGTATCTTATAGTTTTGGGTGCAATTGTATTGACTCCTTAATTTCTCTTTCTTCTGTCTTGCTGTTGGTGTAGAGAAATGCAACTGATTTCTTTGCGTTGATTTTATATCCTGACACTTTACTGAATTCCTGTACAAGTTCTAGCAGTTTTGGAGTGGAGTCTTTTGGGTTTTCCACATATAGTATCATATCATCTGCGAAGAGTGAGAGTTTGA